CAGGTCCGAGGAGGAGCCTGCAATGGAGGTATGTGCCCTTGACTGGAATCGAACCCGGGCCCTTCAGTCTGCAGGCTGACGCGAAACTGGCGAGGGCAAAGATTTAAATAAATAGACATTTTATTTTCATGGACTAGAAGGCTCAAACTTCTTATAATAGCAATTCTCCCCAAATTGATCTATAGATTCAATATAATCCTATCAAAACCCCAGCTGCCTATTTTTGCAGAAATTGACAAGTTGATTCTAAAATGCATATAAAAATGCAAAGGACCTAGAACAGTAAAAATACTTTTGAAAAAGAAGAACAAAGTTGGAGGACTTACAGTTCAAAATTTCAAAACAAATTATAAATCCACAGAAATCAAAGCAGGGTTCTGGAATAAAGATAGACATAGATCAATGGAACAAATTGAGAGACCAAAAATAAACTTACATTTATGGGCAGTTGATTTTCAACAAAGGTGCCAGAACAATTCCATGGAGAAAGAATATTATCTTCAACAAATGATTCAGGGACAATTGGCTATCCACATAACAAAAGATGAATTTAGGTACTTCACACCATTTAATATAACTCAAAATGAATCATGGACTAAATGTAAGAGCTAAAATTACAAAATTTTTAGAAGTAAACATAGGAGAAAGTCCTGTGACCCTAGTTAGACAAAGAGTCCTTAAATATAACATAAAAAGCACAATCCATAAAAGATAAATTGCATCAATACTAAAATTTTTTTAGTTTAAGAAGACATCATTTATAACAGAAAATAACAACCACAATGTTGTTGACCACAATGGGGAAAAATTGGAACCTTTGTGCACTGTTGCTGGGAATGTAAAATGGTGCAGCTGCGATGGTAACCAATATGGGTGATTCCTCAAAAAGAAAAAATTAACTTCTGGAAATATACCTGAAGGAACCAAAAACAGTATGTGAAAAAGATATCTGTGCCTCCCCGCTCCATGTTCATAGCCACAGTATTTACAATAACCAAGACACAGGAGAAACCTAAGTGTTCATGAACGGATGAATGGATAAATAAGTTGTAATACTAAGTGTATACACATAGTGGAATATTATTCAACAATGAAAAAGAAGGAAATCCTGCCATTTGTGACAACATGGGTGGACTTTGAGGACATTATTCTAAGCAAAATAAGTCTGACAGAGAAAGACAAACACTATAGGATCTCACATATACGTGGAATCTAAAAAAAAAAAAAAACTTACAGAAAAAGAAATCAGATTTGCGGTTTTCAGAGGAAGAGGATGCGGGGGTAGGAATCGGAAGATGGCAGTAAAAAGACACAAACTTCCAGTTATAAGATAAATAAGTAAGTACCAGGGATGTAATCTTCAGCAAGATAACTATAGTCAACCCTGCTGTATGGTGTATATGAAAGTTGTTAAGAGAGTAAATCCTAAGTGTTCTTATCACAAGGGGGCAAACCCTTTTTAATATTTTCCTTATTGAATCTACATGAGATATAGACATTGTGGTAATTATTTCACAATATATATAAGTCAAATCAGTATGCTATACACCTAAAAATGATGTAGTGTTATATGTCAATTATCTATAATAATAAAAGCATAATATGCTAATTAGACCGCACAGCCAAACTATCTTCCAGATGTCATTCTGGTCGTCCTTCCGGACGACCTTCCCAACAAAGCCATGGCGACGGTGGCTGAGGCAGAGGCGGTTAGTGGTGATCAGGCAGGCAGGCGAGAAGTTGAAGCAATAAGGCAGGCATGCAGAGTGGTTAGGGGCGATCAGGCAGGCAGGTGAGTGGTTAGGAGCCAGCAGTCCTGGATTGTGAGAGGGTGCAGACTGGGCTGAGCCCCCCCCGCCCCACTGGGCCTCTAGTATCTCAATAAAACTGACAAAAAGAAAAGGTGTGAAATAAATAATTGTAGAGAGTGGGAAATCAAATTGATCAGAAAAGTGGAGAATTACCCAAAAGTGTTGAGGGCTGATATGTTGATAATCATAGTCTGCTGGAAGTATTTTTTAAAAGCCTTGGCTGGTATGGCCTAGTTAGTTGGGCATCATCCCATGTACCTAAGGGCTGCTGGTTCGATTCCCAGTCAGGACACATACCGGGGTTGCAGGCTGGATCCCTGGTAGGGGTTGTGATCAATCTTATGCTCACACATGGATGCTTCTCCCTTCCTCTCTCTCTAAAAATCAATAACTATTCTTAAAAAAAACACACACACAGAAAAAAACACAACTCTGGAAAATGGAAAACAAATGGCTTCAGATTGAAAGACAAAATCAGAACCTAAAATAAATCAAAATAAAAAATGACTTGAAGGTTCTCCCACTTTGGCTCAGTGGATAGAGCATCGGCCTGCGGACTGAAAGGTCCCAGGTTCGATTCTGGTCACAGGGCATGTACTTGGTTGCGGGCACACCCCCAGTGGGGGGTGTGCAGGAGGCAGCTGATAATGTTTCTAACTATCCCTCTCCCTTCCTCTCTGTAAAAAATCAATAAAATATATTTAAAAAAAAATTGAGATGAATGCCCAGCGCAGGAATGTCAAAACATTTGAGGAAAAGTCTAACATCCAAAAGGAGAAACACCACATATCAAAAAAGAGGGAAATGCCCTGGCCGGTTTGGCTCAGTGGATAGACTGTCGACCTGAGGACCGAAGGGTCCTGGGTTCCATCTGGTCGAGGGGCATGTACCTTGGTGGCCGGCTCGATCCCCAGTAGGGGGCGTGGAGGAGGCAGCTGATTGATGTTTCTCTCTCATCATCATTGATGTTTCTGTCTCTCCCTCTCCCTTCCTCTCTGACTAAAAATCAATAAAAACATTTTTAAGAGTAAAATTATATACAATATCGTGTAGCCTATCAGTGTTATTCAGGTTTATATATCCAAAAGCATTACTTATTTTGGCTTTTCTAATCTTTTATCATATAGCATTGCATTAGTTTTGGGTGTACAAAATAATGTTTTGATATATATTATTTATTAGGAAATGATTGCCACTTAAGTTTAGTTAACATCCATTACTACACACTGTTACAATTCTTTTTCTTTTAATGAGAACTTTTAGGATCCATTTTCTTAGCAACTTTTAAATACACAATATGGTATGTTACTGCACATTACACCCCCAGGACATTTATTTTATTACTGGAAGCTTGTGCCTTTGTACCTCTTGTGTT